AAAGAAATTTATTAAGTTTTAAAAATATACGTCTCAACGGTTATCATATTGAGACTATAAATGAAGGGGGCGTTGAATATCTCTGTATTATATGCCAGAAGCATGTATTAGAAAAACTCCTTACTTTATCTTATATATTATATTATACAAATATACGAATAATTGAGTCATATGCAGTGACGCACCAGAAGTGCTCTGACCCAAATATTTTTATACTTTGGCATGATCGCCTTGGTCATCCTGGGTCAACAATGATGCGCCGAATCATTGAAAATTCACATGGTCATCTACTAAAGAACCAGAAAATTCTTTTAGCAATTGATTATCCTTGTACCGCTTGTTCACAAGGTAAATAAATAGTCAGACCATTACCTTATAAGGTTGTTGTTGAATGTCCATCATTATTATAAACGAATTCAAGGGGATATATGTAGACCAATTCATCCAACGTGTGGACCATTTCGATATTTTATGGTCTTAATTGATGCATCAACACGGTGGTCACACGTAAGTCTACTTTCCATTCGTAATATTGCATTTGCTCGACTCCTTGCTCAAATAATCCGATTACGAGTCCAATTTCTGGATTATCCAATCCAGACTATCCGTCTTGATAATGCCGGGGAATTCACATCTCAATCATTTGATGACTATTGCATGTCAATTGGCATTCTTATTGAACATCCTATTGCACATACTCACACCCAAAATGGTCTTGTAGAATCTTTTATCAAACGTCTTCAGTTAATAGCTAGACCATTACTCATGAGAACTAAACTACCTATTTCTGTTTGGGGACATGCGATATTACATGTAGCATCACTAGTACGCATTAGACCAACTGCATATCATAGTTTTTCACCACTACAACTTGTGATTGGTCAACAACCAAGTATCTCTCACTTACGAGTTTTTGGTTGCACTGTATATGTTCCCATTGCACCCCCACAACGCACCAAAATGGGTCCTCAACGACGACTTGGTATTTATGTAGGTTTTGATTCTCCATCTATTATTAAATATCTTGAACCCATGACAGGTGATGTTTTTAAGGCGCGGTTTGCTGACTGTCATTTCGATGAGACTGTTTTCCCTCCATTAGGGGGGGAAAAGAAAAAACCAGAAGAGTAACGAGTTATTAATTGGAATGTCTCGACTTTATCTCATTTCGATCCTCGCACAAATCAATGTGACCTAGAAGTTCAAATGATCATTCATTTACAAAGTATTGTAAATTAATTACCCGGTACATTCTCTAACACAAAAAAAGTGATGAAATCACATATTCCAGCTGCAAACATTCCAGTAAGAATTGATGTCCCTGTAGAACAGTCTGTCAGTGTTATTGCAAATGTATCTAAGATACGCCAGAAGCGTGGTAGACCAGTCGGTGCAAAAGACATTGTTCCCCGGAAGAGGAAAACACAAGAGAAATCAAATAAAGAATTTGGCGCTCCTGAAGATGTCATACTTACAAAAGGAACAACGAAAATGATTGATCAATCTACATTTTATAAGAAAGTAGTCCCAAAAGATATGCATGCCCCAGAAGTGGCACAAGCCCCGGAAGAGGCACTGGTACCTGGAAATAATGAGATCTCAATAAACTATAGAGAATTATGGAATAGAAATACAGCTGTTATTAGCGATATATTCTCCTTTACAATTGCTCTTAATATTGCAAGTGCTAATGAGGACCCTGAACCTCAAAACATCGAAGTGTCGATGTAGAAATGATTAGCCTAAATGGAACGAAGTAATATAGGCAGAGCTAAACTCATTAGCAAAACGTGAAGTATTTGAACCTGTAATCCAGACACCTGAAGATGTCATGCCTGTAGGGTACAAATGAGTATTTGTAAGGAAATATAATGAGAAAAATGAAATTGTGAGATACAAAGCCCGACTTGTAGACCAAGGTTTCTCACAGAGACCTAGTATTGATTATGAGGAGACATACTCTCTTATGATGGACGCAATCACATTTCGCTTCTTGATCAATTTGACAGTCTCAGAAGCATTGGATATGCGTCTGATGGACATGGTTACAGTTTATTTATATGGATCACTAGATAGTGACATATATATGAAAATCCCTGAAGGATTTAAAATACCTGAAGCAAATAGCTTGAAACCATATACCATGTATTCATTTAAGCTACAACGATCCTTGTACGGATTAAAACAATCCGGACGCATGTGGTACAATCGGCTCAGCGAGTATTTATTAAAAGAATGATATGTGAATAATCAAGTTTGTCCATGCGTTTTCATCAAGAAATCAAAATCTGGATTTGCCATTATAGTTGTATATGTTAACGATCTAAATCTTATGGGAACTCCTGAAGAGCTCATCACGACTGCTAATTATTTAAAGAAAGAATTCGAAATGAAAGATCTTGGTAGAACAAAATTTTGTCTCGGCCCGTAGATCGAACATTTACCAAGTGGAATTCTTATCTATCAGTCAACATACACTGAAAAAGTCCTGAAGCGCTTTTATATGGATAAAGCTCACCCCTTGAGTTCTCCAATGATTGTCCGATCACTTGATGTTAAGAAAGATCCTTTTCGTCCTCTAGAAGAAGGCGAAGAAGTTCTTGGTCCTGAAGTACCATATCTTAGTGCAATCGGTGCTCTAATGTACCTTGCGAATTCTACCAGACCTGATATAGCATTTGCAGTCAACTTACTAGCACAATATAGTTCTGCACCAACTCGAAGACATTGGAATGGGGTCAAACACATTATACGTTACCTTCGGGGAATGACTGATATGGGGTTGTTTTATTCAAGAAAATCAAAGCCCCAGTTGATTGGATATGTAGATACAAGTTATCTTTCTGACCCACATACAGCCCGATCACAAACAAGGTACTTATTTACTTATGGTGATACTGCTATATCATGGCGATCTATGAAACAGACCATGACTGCAACTTCCTTAAATCACTTAGATACTCACAATTCATGAAGCAGGTAGATAGTGTGTTTGGTTGAGATCTGTTATACAACATATTCGATAATCATGTGGACTCTCTTCAATCAGAGATAGTCCAACAATATTATATGAAGATAATACAGCATGTATTGCACATGTAAGAGGAGGATACATAAAAAGTGACAGAACCAAGCACATTTCACCAAAGTTCTTTTCCACACACGAGCTCCAGAAGAGCCGTGATATTGATGTTCAGCAGATACACTCGAGTGATAATCTAGCAGATTTATTCACTAAAGCACTTCCAACTAAAACATTCAAGAAGTTAGTGGACAACATTGGAATGCGTCATCTAAAGGATCTTTAGGGCTGAACTGATGGGGGGAAGCAAGTGATTGAAAAGGTATTAGCATACTATACTCTTTTTCCTTCGTCCATGTTTTGTCCCACTGGGTTTTCCTGGCAAGGTTTTAATGAAGCAGTTTTAATCTATGCAATACCATACACAAGAATACTGTACTCTTTTTCCTTCACTAGGGTTTTGTACCACTGAGTTTTCCTTAGTAAGGTTTTAACGAGGCATATTCTTAGTGTAGTTTTGTGGAACCCAAGGAGGAGTGTTAAATATATCTCATAAATGTGTGTGGGGTCCCTAAATGTCTTATGTCATCCATAAGATCACAATGGAGTCTTATAGTGGAAGCTCCATTTGAGCCTTACAGTGGAAGCCAAAATCCAAGCCTATATAAGGCCATGTGTACGTACCATTTGGAGACACTTTTAATGAAAAAACATTTTCTCTCTTTATTTCGTGTTCTCTCCTCTCTCTCTCTGGGTCAAAGAAGTCTCATATATATTTCTCTAAATATATATATACACACACATATATTCATTACAAATTGCAGTGGAATAACATTATTGATTTTTTTTAGGATTCTTGTAATCTTGTAATTTGCCAACTCTTTGATCATTGCAAAAGCCCCCCAACTCATATATGTGTAATTAAATTAGATTATATGTTGTACAAATAAGCCTCGTGTAATAAGGGGAGCTTGTCATACATCGTATCCGGATGAAAAAGTGAATTGGTATATATGGATTGTTGGGTGTTAGCCCCACTTAACAACTTTAGGCTTTTGTATCGGATCGCGAAGCACCTACTACTGTTATAATTGGTATTAGAGTCAGACTCAATTCTTGATCCGGTGTCACACCAAACCTCAGACTCAGAAAACATCCAAATTTGTAATCTTGGTATGCAGAGTAGCCCGAGAAGCAATACTTTTAAACAATGCAAATAAATGTTGTATATTTTTTAAATAATAGTGTACCTATCGAAGTAAATACATTTATATTTTTTTTAGTTATTTTAGTGTCCATGAGTTGTATTCACAAAATAATATTGTTTATTTAATGCAGAATCAAGCATGATGTGTGCTCGAAAGATTCCCTTTAGATTATATAGAAAAGACAATTGAACAAAAAACAAAAAAAAAAAAAAAAAATGAATTTGGACCACATTTGTCTTTTAAATAATGCTGATTATTAAATTAGAGTAACTACTCTCTCATTTTCAGACCCAAAATAATTTAGAGTGGATTAATAATGGCAATTGCCAATAACACTCTCCATTAAAATTCTTAATGGTGATCGTGAATGATTGGTCGAAAAAGTTGACTTTCATGGATCCAAAAGATGTTGTGATTGGAGGAGGTTTTGATTCTTAAATTTGGTGGAGGCCTAGCTTTATACGAGTCAAATCACCATACCTCTCTCTATAGTGTGTGTGTGTGTGTGTGTGTAGAAGTTGTTTTAGATGCTTACACGGGCATATCCATAATTGCCGACCGAGTTCAAACTTAAAGGCCTTGCATTTCTGTCTACCCGTTTTGTTTTGTTTCTTTACTTATTTCTCAAACACTTTGTACACTGAAGAGAAAGGAACTCGAGCTCCAACTGATTTAAAACCATGTAACTCTCTCTCTCTCTCTCTCTCTCTCTCTCTCTCTCTATATATATATATATATATATATATTTTCATTATTTTTGTTTACTTTGGATAAGTAATGAAAGTTCAGTTATTTCAAATTTTAATCCCAACTTAGATTTTTTTTCTTTTGGATAAATAGGAAACATAGATATTGGATTTAATTCAAGATAAATTGAAGCTTTATCCAAAAAGTAAAATTCGAATTATGTGGAATTATGATACATTAAATTCAAATTCCAAATCATTTCTAGTTCTGCCATGTGCTTTAGGGAGCCCATTTTACTGTAGTCATTTATGCTCGGATCATCTGTTTGAGAATCTCTCTACTGATCCTCTCCTTGAGAACTCTGGACTAAAATTCAACGCCCCAGATTTATCCACTCACAAAACTATTCTTACGCCGCTGTTTGTAAAACTCACCATAACTTTAAACCTACCTAGAGTTAACGGCAAGAATACTAAACTGTTTTGAATTTCTCTCTCAGCGATTCCCTCAAAGCTTCCATTGAGGTAAACTACATCAATGGAAAATTGAAGAAATTATAGCTTGAATTTTGGTGGTGTTTTTTTCTCTCTTCTGAAACCTGCGTAAATTGGGAGAAATTAGCTTACGTCAATGGAAGATTTGAGGGAATCACTTCTATTTAGGAGTATTTAGTTAGGGATTTCATGATTTTGCGAAGATAGAGAAAGGAATTCAGAACCGTTTAGTATTCCTGACTTTAACCTAGGTGAATTTGATGTTAGGGGTGAGTTGGGGTTTGACGTTGGGCTAAGTTTTGGTTAAAAATAACCTAGGTGAATTTGATGTTAGGGGTGAGTTGGGGTGTGACGTTGGGCTAAGTTTTGGTTAAAAAGGACAGTGTAATGTCACGGCCGCATGTGAACTTGGAAAGGTCCAAGTCCGCTATAGTAAAAATAGTTTTGTATGTGGATAAGGTGGATGAATCTGGGCTGTTGGATTTAGGCCTGGATAGATTCTCAAGGAGAGGATTCGTTCCCATTTCTGCTTTGCGCTTTAGTGAGTGAATTTAACCATCTATGGTTTAGGAAAGTAGAAAGATATTAATTTTCAAAAAAAATTAAAAAGTAGCAAGATAATCTAAGCAAGGATTGAAAATAATTGGGGGTTCCATTTCCCATGAAACAAAGTCAGGTCATATTGTTCCCACTACATTTTGAGCACAAAAATTCATCATATAAAGTTATGAACAGACCTATAAAATTACCAAAAAGAGAGGAAAAAAGAAATCATCATATCTTATAATCCGACCATTCACACTCCCCATGAATCCTTTTGAACTCCATGGGAATTCCAAAAGTGACTTCAAGGAAGAGAGGTTTTTATAGGCCACTAAGATCACTCCTCAATCCTCATGTCCTCTTTGTGCAAATATCCTGTGTATTTTTCTTCTTGAAGAGCTTTTTTCACTCATTTAAAATGAAAACAGAGTCCTGCTGATGAAATGAGCAGAGTCTTACCACTGAGACAACTAATATTCAACGCGCCCTCCACTATGCATTTGCAGATAATGGAGCTCTCATGGCCTTCCATCCCGATCCTTTTCACTTTCCTGCTCTTTGTGTTCATGGTTTTGAAAACAGTATCAAAAACCAAGAACTCCAGTCCAAATCTACCCCCTGGGCCATGGAAGCTACCTCTCATTGGAAACGTGCACCAGCTCGTTGGATCTGATCTAACCCATCACCGCCTAAGAGATTTGGCCGCGAAACATGGACCTCTGATGCACCTGCAACTTGGAGAACTTTCCATCGTTGTTATTTCTTCCGCAGAAACCGCGAAAGAAGTGATGAAAACAAATGACATCATCTTTGCTAGCAGGCCTTTTCTTCTTGCTGCAAGTATATTTTGTTATGGTTCTACAGGCATTGTCTTCGCTCCATATGGAGACTATTGGAGACAACTTCGGAAGATTTGCTTACTGGAGCTTTTAAGTATAAAACGCGTCCAGTCATTCCGATCCATCAGGGAAGAAGAGATCTCAAACCTCATCAAATCTATTTCAACGCAAACAGGATCTCTGCTCAATCTCAGTAAAGAAATTTTGTCCTCGACATATGGCATCACTGCAAAGGCGGCCTTTGGTAAGAAATGCCATGACCAAGAAGAATTCATATCCGCTGCCAAGGTGGTCATAGAGTTGGGAGGAGGTTTTAATGTCGCCGATCTCTTCCCTTCAGTTAAAATGCTAGCTTTGATCAGTGGGCTGAGGCCCAAACTTGAGAAGGTTCATCGGAAAGTTGACATGGTACTCGACCGCATCATTGTTGAACATAAAGCTAAAAAGACAGCAACAGAGACTACTACTGATAGGGGCGAAGCAGATGAAGATCTGGTAGATGTTCTTCTAAAAGTTCAGGAGCATGGTGACCTTGAGTTCCCCTTAACCATCAATAACATCAAGTCAGTTATAATGGTTAGTACATAATTCACTTTTTGCTTCTACATATCAATTAACTTAATTCCACAACGTAATCAATCTTTGCTTCCAGCTGAGCTGAGCCAAATTCCAAAGTGGCATTGATCTACAAGGCCAACATTTCAGAGTTATAGAGAGCCAAAAACGAGTCATGACTAGGATGAGTTTGTTCTGTATTATCAATTCTTAACTGATATTAATTCCGTTTCAGGACATTTTCACTGCCGGGAGTGAGACATCATCTACAACTGTAGAATGGGCAATGTCAGAAATGCTGAAAAATCCAAGAGTTATGGAAAAGGCACAAGCCGAAGTGAGATATGTTGCAAGTAAAAAAGGAAATAGTGCTACTGTTGATGAAGCAGACCTCCATGAATTGAGCTACTTAAAGTTGGTTATCAAAGAAACCCTGAGATTACACACTACTCTCCCTTTATTACTTCCAAGAGAGTCCACCGAGAGATGTGAAATTAAGGGATATGAGATACCTGCCAAGAGCAAAGTCATTGTCAATGCATGGGCAATTTGTAGAGATCCCGAACAATGGACTGATCCAGAAAGCTTTAATCCAGAGAGATTCCTTGACAGTCCAATTGATTACAAGGGAACTCATTTTCAATATACGCCATTTGGTGCTGGAAGAAGAATATGTCCTGGCATATCGTTCGCGTCAGCTAACATTGAGCTTCAACTTGCACAACTATTGTATCACTTTGACTGGAAGCTTCCTGATGGAGCAAATCATGGAGATCTAGACATGACTGAGGTCTTTGGTGCATCGGTTCGAAGGAAAAGAGATCTGTGTGTGATTCCCATTTCCTATCATCCTTCAAGTACTGCTAAATAAGGCAAGAAGCCAGAAAGCATTAATTGGATGTTCATTATCAAACTTTCAATTCTATGTGAACCTGCAATTTTTATTAGTTTACACTAATCATGCAAGCATTTGTTACAGCATAAAAAAATAAGAAGATGAATGTTGGTGGACTAATCAAAATGCAATAAGTTTGCAATAATATATATTAGTACTATCCTATAAGTTTACTTTTTGAAACAATCTGAAGCCAAAATTTCTTTTGTTAGAAGGAACGTGAATGGTGGTGGACTATTAGTAATGGTATAAGCTCAAATTGTAAAGTGTAAAAATGCATATTCAACTGTGAGGATAATTATCTTGATTAATGGATAATGACCTTTCTATATATCTATGCAGGTGAGCATGCATATACATGAGAGCTTGTGGTGTGGAACATGATGCAATTGAGACAGTAATCAATAATCATCAAAGAACGATAACCGGTTATAAATAAATTAAAATAAAATAAAAAATCAAAGCACTATAACCTAAATGCTGCACATCACCATATATTTCCCATGTCAAACAAAGTTGCAAATATTCAATCTAAATTTTGAAAGATGCTTATCAACCAACAAAACACCCACCCTCAAAACGAAAATCTGCACAACAATCATATAACAAAGCATTACAAACTTCTTATTGCATGAGCTACGCAGCTTCTGAGTTCTGACCAATAGTCTTTATCGTGAGTATAGTTGGCATGATCACTATCATCTCCATTGTCTTTATGTTCTTATTGATTCCTCTTGTTTATCATAAACTTCCACCAACAAGCCACATGGATCAAAATCCTCTCCTGTGCACCATCACAACATTTTCGTAACGTACATCACTAACTGGACGGGACAGGACACTCTTTCGCAGGAGATGATTTTACTCCCAAGCCACCAGGCATGGTTAAAAACATCTAAATTTATATTATATTTAGGATTATTGGGGATCAAAATCCTCTCATGTGAAACAATAACCTTGTCCCCTCCGGTTAATGATGTTGTGATGCAATGCTAAACATCACAACATTTTCTTAACGTGCATTACCAACTATAGGGAACTGTCTTGCTATAAAGGATTTTAGTCCCATCATCAGACCTCTCTCATGAGGTTTGACTAAATTACCTACGGATGTTCCTACACCCTCCAGCCAAGGTTAGTACCTGAAATTCTTCAATGATATTTACAAAAATACTATTTTGCCCCTAGAAAATTGAAAATTACCTTTTTTAACCATTAAACACCCCTCAATTCCAAAAAACCCTAACCCTAACCATCAATTAAACCCAAAACAATATGCAGACCTTCTTTGTCATCCACCATGGAAATGATCAAGATACTATTCAGACCTCCAATTCACAAACCCTTCCATATACGCCTTTATCCTCATCATTTATTTCTCTCTACTTATCACCATCGTCTCTTTCATATTCACACCCAAAAGGGCCAAAACCACTCCGATTCTGCTCCTCCCAACCTCACAGCAACCTACCATTTTATCTAACTTTCTTCATTTTCATGCATTTTGTGTGTGTATGCAATTGTATAATTTGTATATGTATACAGGCATGTAGAAGAATGAATATATATGTAAGAACTTACCAGAGCTACCAATTATGCCTTCGACGACGATCCCTGCCGGCGACAGATCCGATTAAACGAAGCAATCCCGCGACTAAATCCACAATCACAACGTTTGATGAGTCGAAGCGTGTAGAATTTGACATTGTGTAATACTAAAGAGTGAGAGAGAGAAAAAAAGAAAGTAAATTGTAGAATTTGGATAATAAAAGTATTAAAAAAAATAATTAGTTTAAATATTACTATTTATTTAGATTAAACAAGTTATATTACAGGGTTTTGGATAACAAAACTGATAGAAATATAATAAGATTAAATATTATTTATTTAGATTAAATAAATTATATTAATCTTAAAAATAAATAAAAATATTAAATTATATAGATTTAAGCTTCATCGAAAAACGTAAAATATTTTTCAAGATTTTTTTTTAAAGGTAAAATATATATTTTTTATTTTTATTTTTAGATATTTGACAAAAACTTAGGTCAAGATTGAATGATCAAGTAAGGTGGTGAGTTTAAAATAACTTATCGAAAATTAACAAATAAGTTATTTCAGTTAAATTTTAATTTTATTTTTCATTATAAATATTTTTCAACATCCAAATATAAAAAAATACAAAAAATATTTTCCACTCAAACAACAAAACTTAAGTAAGAATGTTTTTGTCAAATCAATATTAGTTGTATATTATATTTTTTATTAGCTCAAATTATTTCAACCTAAAATATTTTTCATATGAAATCTTTTACATGTTAATTTTAATTTATGGTGTTTAGCTTAAACTTGAAAATAAATTTTTAAAAAACAAAATATAATTTCTTTCAAAATCAAACATATAAAGAATAAAATCCCAAGAAAAAATTCATTTCTCTCTAGCTTATCCAACAAAATAATCTTATATATATATATATATAATTTATCTACCAAGCAAGATTGTTCTTTAGATATGATTTTTATCATTTTTTTTAAGTAATTATTTTTTAAAAACTTGAATCGTATCCGACTATCATCATGATTAGTTACCCTATACTATAATATAATATAATATTATATATATATATATATATATATATATATATATGTAATACAAAGATTAATCTTTGGACGAATTTTTTTTATCAAAGAAGAGATTAATTCAAACTTTTGATTAAGAGTCTAGAAGATTACAGAGTTAATTTCTCAACCAGCACTCGCATTTGTCAACCGACTTCATTTGATTTCATCGATTATAATCAGCTATATATATATTTTTTGAAAAACATTTTATTTTAGGTAATACAACAAAATCCTTTCGGTGTATTAAATCGGACCTCCTTAATTGCTTCTATTACCGTATTATTATTATCTTATCCTAAGAAGTTTAATGAAAGAACAATACCTTAATTTAGTTCCCAAATTAATAAAACTCTAACACGCGCTAGAAAAGAAAGTGGTCTTAAAAATTAAACGACGAAGAAGGAGTTACAGTTTCAGCTGAATACCAATAACCGTCGACGACATGTCTAATCCTCTGCAACCTCCACCACTGTGGCGTGGCCAATTCTCGTACAACTACATTGTAAAAACACCTCTATCATATATATATATATATATATATATATATATATATATATATGACCTTTTCTTTTACACACACAATTAGTAACTTCAATTCTTCTAAAATCAACCCATCTTTGTATACTGTGTTATACCACCTCCCAAGCCTGCAAATTTAGAGATAACCCATCCAAAAAACAGAGCATGGTGGCCAAGAATTTGATAGTTTTTAGTGTTTGTGTTGTGGGTTTGTTGGCTTTTTTTGGTGAATTTGAATTAGGAGGGAGTGAAGAAGACGTGTACAAGAGGAATTTTATTACTTGGGATGATGTGAAGGTGGATGAAAATAAGGTGAGGATGGGTTTGAGTGATGAAGACGATGATTATTATCAAAGTGGGGTTATTCTGGTTGTCAAGAATGGAATGGGTGATTCAGTCACAGTTCAAGGTGCAGTTGATATGGTTCCCCAATACAATTCTCAGAGAGTTAAAATTTACATTCTTCCTGGAATTTACAGGTCTCTTCTGTAACTGTGTTTATGTGCGTGTGTGTGTTGTTAACCACTCTGTATAGACTGTATGTGCATATGTGTGTGTATATATATATATATAGTACTATATATTGAGCTCTTGACGACGAAAACCTTATGCAATGGTTTGCCCTTTGATGCTCTTGATGGTTAAAAGAATTCTATAAACGCTGTTTTTTTAAAAAAAAATTAACCAAATATCCCTTCACTTTTATGAGTTGGTTTTATTTGGATAGTATAATAATAAAGATTCTCATCTCAGATCTCTGAATTTGAACTCCTTAAAACCACTCTGAATTGGCAGTGGCATAGTAAAAAATCTACTTAAATGTGGCAACCATTAACAATAATGTGATAAAATATTTTGAACCAATGTTTATATATATTGAGAGGTCTTTTTTGAAATTTTTTTGTTAAACAAATTAGTTAGAAAATGAGGGATTTTTAGGGTCTTTTGTGAATTTTATAAATGCATTAACAAAATTTGTGCAGAAAATTCCAGTGGTGGCAATTGCCCCCACTGGTTCCAATGTGGCTCGCCACGGTCCCGTAGTGAATTATGACGTGTTCTAAGAGATCTGAAATACACTACAACAACAACTAAGCATTTTTTTAATTAGTTTGCGCAATCTCGTATCTCCATTTTGTTCTATTTGTAACTATAATCTCAGTCAATTCACATATTATTATATCTTTCCTTACTAAAGCTACTCACGTTAATTTTTGTCTTCCTCTTAGTATTAATCTCTCTTCTTAATATTTCTTGAACCGTAACTTTTTCTAAGTGATTATTGAGTATATTTGTAAAGCTCTACAATTCTTTATACATGTACTCTGATTTTCTCTTGCAAAATAGATTCTAGTAATTAGTTGATTTTATATTTTCTTTGATTTTGTTTGTTTACCTTCTCATTTTAAATTTCATATTATGTGACAGAGAGAAGGTACTCATTCCAATCACCAAGCCATACATATCATTCATTGGAGATCAAAATCGAGCGTCAGAAACCGTAATTACTTGGAATAACAAAGCCTCCGATAAAGATGAGCATGGGCATGAACTGGGTACCTCTAGATCAGCTTCTGTCACAGTTGAATCCGATTACTTCTGTGCTACTGGACTCACCTTCCAGGTACAGAAATCGTCCATGTGCCTTATGATGAATAGCTTAGGGATAGAATGGTCCGAATATTATGCGGGTCCCACAATAGAACTCACGCGGCACGGAATATTCTGCATCATTAACATTGCTAATACAATAATTTTATATGAATTACATTACATCGTTATTTCATTATATTGGATATTGTCACAAGTCTGTTTACATTACATTGTTATTCTAGTTGATAATTTGGGTCTAAAACATTAATGGAAAAGCTTTTATGCCCTTAAATATGTTTAAGTGAAAATTATGAATCTCACTTGAAACATATCTAAAGGCAAATAAACCATCAGTTTATTTTTAAACCTGAGTTATCGGTTTAAATAAGTCATGTTAGATGAATAAAGTTATTTGACTTTTCGGAGTAATTAATTAATTAAAACCTTTTTTTTTTAGTGAAAAAAATATGGTATGATTTTCTTTTGAAAATGCTATCATGTACAATATAATGTCCTAAAATTCTGTTTAATAATTGCTTGTTTTACAGAATAGTATAGTTGCAAAGGCTGGAGACAATGGAAGGCAAGCAGTAGCATTGAGAATAGCTGGTAATAAAGCCATGTTCTATAAAGTGAGGATTTTGGGGTCTCAAGACACACTTTTAGATGACTATGGATCACATTATTTCTACCACTCTTACATTGAAGGAGCCATTGATTTCATATTTGGCTCATCAAGATCGCTCTATCAGGTATAAATCTATAAAAAAAAACTCCCCTATTTATTGTACTATTTATCAACCCCAAAAACAAAAAGAAATCATTGTTGCTTAAATCTAAAATGAATAGAAACAAAAACAAATAAATAATTCTAGGTTCTATTCCTCTTGAAAGATGACATAAACATAATCTCAGATCCAATATTTCAATTCAGGTTTTTTTTTTTTTTTTTTTTTTTTTTTTTTTTTTTTTTTTTGACAATTTGATGCATGATAAACATTCTAGTCTATCTGATACATCTTCTGATCCTTTCTTTTTTTTTTTGTTGTCTTCTTTTTCCCCTCCTATAGGATTGTGTTCTTCACTCAACTGCAAAAACCTTTGGAGCAATTGCAGCTCATAGAAGGGATTCAGCAAATGATGATACAGGATTCTCTTTTGTAAACTGTACAATCAATGGAACTGGTACTCTTTACTTGGGAAGAGCTTGGGGAAACTACTCAAGAACAATATATTCATATTGTGATATAGACAATATCATAACTCCATCTGGATGGACTGATTGGGATAACCCATCCAGGCAAAGGTATGAATCTCTTTTCTAACTCACCCACCCACCCACCAATAGAAAAGCACTTAGTCAGGCGAACAACTCCATTGTTTTAATGTAAGTAAGGGATGACATTATGATGATGTCGGTGGTGAGGCTAACGTCATCATGACTTCATCCCCCACTCATGTGAAATAGTCGGAGTTGTTCAACTGTCTAACTCTAAATGATTTTCTATAAATACTCGGATGGCAATTTCGGGGGAGAAGAACAAAGGCCAGTTCAGATTGGATCAAAATGTTTAGTACATGTTTTGAAAATTCAAAACTTTAATAAACTTGGTTTTCATGTATAGGAGTGCAGTATTTGGTGAATACAAGTGCAGAGGCAGAGGAGCTAATAGAAGGGATAGAGTGCCTTGGTTGAAGTCTTTCAGTTATGAGGAAGTAAAACCTTTTCTAGATAGGACGTTCATAGGTGGAGAGCAGTGGCTGAGACTATAGTAACATTTTCATGTGTCCTGTTGCTTATGAATGCAAGCTGACATGGCGGTGAAAGGGATAGAGATTATTGTGGCTTCAAGGGTAAAATAGTCATTTCGGCATAAATTTTGACCATTTTCTTCCCTTCCTCGGAGGGAATGAGTGGAGGAGTCTTTATACTAAGACCATTAGATGCATATTCAATTTTGGCCTGTTGGAAATATAGTATAGACTTGAAATGCAAGCAACATCTATGCTATATAGACTTAAAATTGAACATTGGCCTATGTGCAATATAAATACGAAGTATGTTGTATCTTTTCCCAACAACTGCAAATGCAAGTAAAATTTATGTTACATGGAATTCAAAATGCATGAAGCACTCAATACAAAGTATGTTGTATCTTTTCCCAACAACTGCAAATGCAAGTAATGTGACAAACAAATGGCCTATTTGCAATATAAATAGGAAGTATGTTGTATCTTTTCCCAACAACTGCAAATGCAAGTAATATTTATGTTACATGGAATTCAAAATGCATCAAGCAATCAATCAAACAAATGATTACCAAGATATGCTCATACGCCGAGAAGATGTATGACTGTTTCAGCGCAGCTATGACCATCTTAAGTTTCACAATTACCAGACAAGATGAAGATAAAGACCAGTATGATCAACTTCTAAGGAAATATTTCCACAACACTATATCATGAAATGGTCAATATGGGAAAGGGAAGCTACATATACAATGATAATAAAGATGATTTAATAATAGTTCTAGTTTTACAAGAGAACTCAATATCATTGGTACAAGTACAAATACAAAAGCACACTAAAAAGGTTTAAGTAGAGCTTCCTATATAAGGGACCTCCCCATCATGTAATCCTAAAACAATCAGTTAACTGAATCCATTAGAGATTTCTAACCTCATTCTGTACACCCAAAAGCTTCTCCCATGTCCAATAAGAAGTGCAAGATATATAACTCCGATCACCTCTCTATCTTTATTTACAAATATCCCAACCCTCGGGCTAAACTCCATTTTACCATCAATCACCACCACTACTGTTAAGAGAATGTACCTCTGTGAACTCCTGTGAAGCGCCTTATGCCACCAGTTCAATGGGTTTTGTTTCACATTTCTGTCCAGCAGTTTCACACTCTATCTCTAATTTGTCCCCATCCTTGTCTTCATAACCAGCATCGTCACTGTCATCCTCATTCTCATTGTCGCTGTCGTCATCAAAATTATTGATGTCATCGTCACCATGGACATAATCTGCATGGTCTTTTTCACTGCTGTCATTGACATGATTGTCATTATCTCCGTTATCTTTGTCTTCTATTGACAGTTGCTTCTCATCATTCATCCAATCCATTTCTTTCAAAAGGCCATCAGAAGAGACCAAACCAGCTAAGCTAGGCTTCTCATTTTCAACAACAATGGGTTTGATACTGGAGGGAACTTCATCACATGACATTGGAAGATCATCAGATTTCACCTTTTTGGTAATCAAGGATACAGAAAGCTTTGTATCCGGGCAAATAGCAGCAGATATGGCTGAGAGAATATCAGGATTTGAAGCAATATCGACCCAATGGTCCCCCACCCAATCTCTTGAAACTCTTACATGCTTCCTATATATTTTTAAAGCTAAATTTTCACCTAAGATCACCAAATTAACATTGCTTTAGAAAAAGCAAAAAACTAACAGAGTTCCAAATATAGAGGGGAAAAAAACAATGATAGAAAACATAGAAGAGATAAGAATTGAATCAATTTTCCAAAGAAAAACATACTGGGTATATAGACTTGCAGACTTTCATCTCCATGATTACTGCTGCCAGTTACAACCCCTTCCCACCAACCATCACTCCACCACGCATCCACTGGATCTCCAACCTCAAAAGCAAGATCTGTTTGATTGTGAGGAGGGGCTGGCCTGATTGTTGGGCGGCCTGAGCATCTCATTCCAAGTTTATCTGGCACTGCCAGTCTGAAACTCGGGATCCACTCCTACAAATTGAAGACAAGTGTCAAAAGATTATTTTTTCCCCTAATCAGATTAGTTTTCTGAATTCAAGACTCGAGATAGTTCATTTTAACAAGACACAAAAATAGTGTCATGGCATGAAGTCTTCAAAAAACCAGTGACGGACAGAAACTTGTGTGAGCGGCCACTACAGTAATCCAAATATGGGTATAAAATACTGGGGTATTTTAAATTTTAGTGGGGGCATTTACATAATTTTACAAAATTTAAGTATAAAGTACTAATAAAGAGAATTCCAGTGGGGGCGGCATGCCTTAGCTCCACGGCTCACAAAAATTGCATTTATATGATAACCAAGTGGAAATTAAACTCCTGATAAGTGGCTACAGTGTGTGAGATTTCTAGCCCAAAAATCACACCAGAACTGCTGTTTGAATACTGAACACATGATATATTGATACTCAATGAATATTCAACTTCCAATTCTTATCTGGCCGGTAATTCAATTTTAAGGAATGCTACAATCAGAACAACCTCCAGTCTGGGTCCATTCAAATTGCAGCCATTTGACTGAACACTCAAAATGAAGCCATGATCAATAGCTTTAAGGACTTCTAGATATTACATACAGCATACGAACTAAATCTACACTGTTCTGAAAGGAAATAGAGACCATGTGCTTTTATGAACATTGTTCAAGGATTAGAAGCCCCATATAACTTGTAGTGTTGAAGTTGCTTGATTGGAAGTCATCATTGGCATATGACTACATTAGACATATGACTAAATTAGAGGAATCTCGTTAAAAGAGATAAGTGCAATTATATACTATTTTAAAATTTAAAAAATAAAATAATAAATCATAATGAACCCTAGAGTGAAATCAGGTACTCAGCACTAGTATATACCAGGGGAATCTTCTAGGAATTGCCACCTTTTCGTAAATTATTTACAAAAGGGGGACAAAAACCTAAATTTAATCATGAAGACATTATACTTCAATAGCTCTTGAAGCTTAACACACTCTGTATTTTTATTTATTCACTTTTCTTTTTTTTTCTTTTATTGTGAAACCATACAGAGAAGAAAGTACATTACTTGTGGATGATGAATGATTCTAATTTCTAAAGCAAATCCATTTAGTTCTATTTCAAATTTTAACTCCAATAGGAATAAAATTTTAAAGAAGTTTTTAAGTGCCGAAGCATACCTCAAGATTCCCGTATCCATCTTCATCCTTCACATCGTCGTATTGGACTTTCATCTGTCTCTGAGATACCTCCAACACTGTACACCTAAACCAGCAGCCTCGGATACCGCTATCTTGGCACAGCAACTCTATCTTTTCATTAACCTTAAAAATTGTGGCATGCCAAGGATAGTGCTCAATAAACTTGCGCGAAAGCAGTCTCCTACTCAACAAACCAGACTTCTTGAATGATGGTTCACAGGTCAACATCTGACGCCTTCTACAACTTCTAGTCCTTTTGCCCAGCTTCACATAGTCACCTGGGCTGAATTCCTCGTCTTCAAAGAAATCAGGATCCAAACATGAAAAGATTGGTTGATCATGATAGCCACGCAATTTACTCAAATTGAAAGGCTTCACACGATTGTTTCTAAATTGTCTAAAGCAAAGTTGTACTTTAGCTAACAAAGCATGTGGAAATACAGATTCACATTTCTCATAATGTTCACGAGTTAAGACTACGGCAGGACCGTCAACACACTCTGCACTGATGACTTGGGAATATGGGGTGATGAAAACCTCTTTGGGGTGAGGATTTCGTAAAGAAATTACACCCTTGACTTCTTGATTATGGTGAAACCACCTCACTTTGACCTTTTTATGTCCCTTCCTGTCTTCATACATATCATCCAGATATGCAAGATGGCGATTCTCTTCTTCGGCCATGACAAAAACGAAGGACTGTGTCTAATATCAGGAAAAATAAAATCAATGGAGTTATTAAAAAAAAAAATGCAAATTCAGAGTAACATGGTGCCATTTCAAAAGGGAAATTGAGGTTCAAAACTTGAGGCGATCTCAAGGCAATGCTATATAAGAAGTTTACATCTGTAGTCTAGTAGAATGAATTCCAAGTCATGCCTCAAAGTTCAGATATAATACACATGCTTTAAGGCCCACGGCATGCATGAGGCAAACAATACCTATAATTTAACTATGACTAAAAACCGATAAATCTTCCATTTGTAAGTATTTATTAAATTAAACAGATAAATTAGTTGAAATGGATTATGATAAAATAATAACAACTGCATTATTTACCTTTCTCTTTTACCTATCAAGTTTCAAATAAAAAGAAGCATGAAAATGTATATTAAGACTAAGGAGTCACCCATACTGAATACTTGTATGATTTAACTTCTTATGGAGATGTATCAAATGCTCCCTAAATGTATCAACTTAGGTTCTTCTCAGATACTCTGGATAATGTGTCTAACATTCCATGAACATCAGGATGAGGCATTTCTTGTATAGTAATAGAGTACAATTGTTTCAAAAAGACAACATAAAAGTTGTTCTATTTCTTGGAAGAGAACAACTAGGATATAAATAAAACTTTTCAAATTTGATCTCAATACATACAACGTCATCATACAGCCACAGTTTTAACACTTAAAATTTTAACATTAAATTTTAAAACTATGAGTTGGAAACTTGGACTATTTGGTAAATTCTTCAACAAAGGTTGTTGTCATTATATGTGTACAAGAAAAAATTCTTTTAATGTTTATAATAAATATATGAATATGTATTAGGATATAGTTTGGACATGTGCATAGAAGACCTTTAAGTGCGCTAGTTAGGAGATTGACATAGTCCATATTGAAGGTAATACCCTGAGGAAGACCGAACTTAACATGGGTAGAGTTGGTAAGGAAGGATAAAATATCATATGGTTTGACTGAGTCCATGGCCTTTGATAAACGGAATGAAAAATTAGGATTCATTTAGCCAACCCCAAGTAGTTGGGAAAAAGGCTTTGGTGGTTGTTATTGTTGTTGTAATTGGAATGTGTATTAGCATGCATCTTCCCGATTCCACCTACTTTTTGAGTTTATTTTGCATCCTCATGTCTATATTTTGTTGTATACATAACTTGTATCCGCATATACTTCAGTCTTTTAAGAACTACATTTTTAATGTAATATACTTGGAGTTTGAAGCCCCTTAAGGCTTTGAATCATTTAAGGGGTTTCTCTCTTTTTATCTTTTTTCTTTTTTCTCCAACCAATTAATTTTAGCTAAAGGATTATCTTACACCTTACAGTTTACTCCTTTGCTAAAACTTAAGATTTTTAAAGCATGAAAATTAAGTGAGGAACTCTATGCCATACACATTAAGTATTATAGATCCAAAGACCCCACTTCATTGCTTCCCTTTTGAAAGATATTGCTTACCGCTATTGTAGTCCCATTCCTGCAAAATGCTGGGTAGTGCTTGAGTTGTTTACCACATGCCCATGCTACACCTGACCACACAATGTCTGATGCATGTCCTCTCAAATTCTTTGCAAGACGATCCTATATAATGAAGTCAGACAAATATAAGAAGAAACAATTTGTAGTAAAATGAAGGCATAGCAAAAAAGATATACCTTGTAATCTGGCATGTGAGGCTGTTGAGCCCTGACTTTGTTCACTGGATCACTTTTTGGTGATTCTATCATTGGAAATGATAAAAATTGTTAGTGTACTGGAGTGATATGGCAGTTTTTCTGTTAAGAAACAGAATAATTAACATGAAAATAAATTATATCCATGGCCCAAAAGATAATTCATTGTAACCAAAAGTTGGGAATTTATATAATCTGAATCAGATATCATCACCAGAATGACTAATCAGGCTTTGGAACAACTAGAGGGGAAAGAAACACAAAGGATGTAGTACAATTCAAGCTTCGCTCAGTACAGAGTAAAGGCACATTCTTCCAAGACCAGGCTGTCATCATCTCTCTTCTAAGCTACATGCATCTTTAAGCTAAAATTATAGATTAATGTCAGCATGGATTGTTAATATGAATATCAGTGCGCATTCAAAAATGGATTGGTTGCCACCTTTAAGCTACTAAATCTCAAGCACTTCTGTTTAGTAATATATATATATATATATATATATATATATATAAATCAAGGAACGAGATTTTCATGGTTTATCAAGGTTTTATTAATTTTTTTTTTTTTGGAGGGATGATTGGTGCAATCAAGAGTTAAGCAGAAACACATATCACAATATAAGCAATTTTCACCACTATAATTGACAAAAATTCCAGGTAACTCTGGCATCTAATGGCACTACATAAAAATACAAACAAAAAGTTCTCTTTTTATATTGTAAAAAATGTTCACTGCTTCAATTACCCTAACAAATTAAATTTTACCTTATGTCATTCCTGTAGTTACAATTAGAGGTTCTGGCATATTTTCAAAAGTTGTTAGTGCTTTCAATTTAGAAAAAAATTAAATTAAAAATCTTTGATTTTTAGATGTCATTCAGCAACTAATTGGCATTTGATTTTGAAATGAAGTAATTGCTGGACTCAACTCAACTCACTCTACCCACTCTCTGTGGAAAGCGAAATTCTGATATTGAAATTTTGTTCATGTTCAGATCTAGGAGCGGGACATTCATTTGAGTCATAGTTGATTTCCTCCTATAGCTTATGCTGCTACAGAAACATGGCTATGGCTAAATAACACTAGATTAACAAGATCTTGATTCCAAAATTTAGGTGTCTTGATCAGTAAATCCTACTACACTATTATAAAAATGATCAATAGACAACAACGAAAGTGCACAATAACAGCACCATCTGATTTTTACAGAAATTGTCATTACTTTCACCCTCTGACCCCTTCATTGCACTGTCGTAGTATTGTACTCAATATTGTCTATCACAATCCTTGATAGCCACAAACCAATGATTTTGCTCATAGGAATTTTTTTTTTTTTTTGATAAGTAATTTTGCTCATAGGAATTGAGAACTTGTCACATATAAAATAACCCTGTCCTAAAAAAACCCAATGCTCAACAACTTCATCTTTTGTTTCTCTCTTTTGGGGATTAAGGCAATGGGGTTTGAAACTTGATATCCATTAAGCAACAAGTCACCAATTTTAATTGGGAGTTGATCCAACGAAAATTATTAGGAAAAAACAACCAGTTAGGGCTACTCACTCCACATGCTAATTATTGAGTTCTAACAGTGAATTGATCATATTCTTCTATGATTTGTGTTGTCACTGACAACAATGTATGCATGATGATTCATGTCTTCTCTAATCTTACACAAATTTCGAACATTCCACCAACTCGTGCCATAGGGAGGAAGCCTCATATTCATGATGGGAGTATTAAATGTAATATGCAATGACAGTACTTCGACAAATATATGCAGTTAGACATTTAGTCAACTCAAGTAACTTAATTGTGTACAGTTAGAATAAGGTATCGGTAGCGGAGTTCATATACGCTGACCACAAAGTTGCTTGTGTGATTAACCAACTATTACCGATAATTTCCAACTTGCAAAGAAGTACCCAACTCACAGGAAGTATCCTTCTAACAAGACTAGACAAACAAGTTGCATGAAGTTTTCTACCATAGAGGAGGATAATAAACCATAAAGTTCATCAATAATTAAAGTAACATTATTAAAACTGTGTTAAGAAGATGAATATGCCAAGCCAAGTACAAACCAGTAAAACCATGTTGCAGGCATGTGCTAACACATTAAGTACAATTTACGAAAAACTACAAGGAAATTTCTTTATAAAGAAGTATATAGTTGTAAAAGAGCAAACTTTACAGCAAATTATAGAGAACTTATACAAAGTTTGAGCATAAAGTTTTGATAAAATCATAAAGCAAAATTTGCTCCTATGAAGTCTTCTATAAATTTCATAACATTTTTCATTTTTGTCACTCTGAAACAATGACTGAAAAATCAAATGCATTGTGGTATAGCCTCACTAACTAACTGAATGTCAACACTACATAACAGCTCTAGTAACTTTCTGTGCTCATCAATATAGTAGCAGGGTTTTATCCTATGCTTTCCTACAAAAATATATATTCCACATCTAACTATAGACTTATAGAGTCATCATGCATCAATAATGGTCATATATCCCTAGAGTTTCAAAAAATATTGTGAAGTACAGAACAGATAAAGTAAACATACTGGACCGACCGCTTTGCCGGTGCTGCTTCGATAGCATAGATGTGAGCCAATTCACAACCTCTCTCCTTGATCTCCATCTGTAGCCGGCATGGACCGAGTTCTCGGTCCCATAAACTTTCAAGAACTCTTCAGCAACAACATAGAACATGTGCCTAACACTCCTTTCAGTGCCCACAACAGCAAGAATAGAATCCCCGGAAACATCCTTCAGGAAATAGTGAACCACCCGCTTGCCCCGCTCCTTGGAAACAAATTGCTCTTTCCACTCCACAAAACAGTGACCATTTGCAGCCATGGGGTTAACAAAGAATCAGAACCCTAAAAGAAACCCTAATTGCATAGCTGAAGATGGACCCAAAAATTTGGCAAAAAGGTTCAAACCCAATTAAATTATTTGCCTAAGAAGCTTCAATATCTCAACAATTGAGACAGAAAGCTACAACCTTTTCTAAGTTCTAGTGTCCCCTAATTTGATTAGCCCTAAGAAACCCAACAATTCTCTCCTCAAGCTCAAAGATAACAAACAAGAACTGGGTAGTTAATCTAAACTGAAAAAAAGCCCCCCACAAACCTATGATTTTGAAGATCTACCAGGAGATCAAAGCACTTACAAAAATGAAGATGGGTCTGGGTCTCAAAGCCCTAAGAAACATAAAGATAAAATTTTGGAAGCTTTTTATAAGAAATTCATCAAGAAAATGAAATGGGCATCTATAATTGTAATAGTAGTCAGGAGGCAAGGAACAAAAAAGTGGAGTCTAGGAAGGATTGTGGGTTGAACCTGATGATGATTTTAGGTTTGCAGCTTTAAGAAAGAGGCAAGAACATAAGGGTTTATTTGTGTTTTGGACTGTGAAATGTTGAGATGAAGAAAGAGAATGGGAGCGAAGCTAAGAGTGAGAGAGAAGATGGGTACCTTAGGTTCAGGGATACAATAAACATGGTAAGTGGGAGAGTTGCAGAGGCCCGGAACTTCACATCCCATGCAGCTGTTGAGGAGAGAGAGAGGAGAGACAGAGAAGGGTCTGGTGGCCGGTAGGTAAAAGGGTGAAATTATCGTAATGATCCCTTCTTATGAGGAAACTTTAGAGTATGAATCACTTAGACGCTTATACACTATATTGAGCTCCAGTGGGGACCAACAACATGAATGGTACACTATTTTTTTTTTTTTTTTTTCTTTGTTCTTTCTTGCAAAATAATATTTGAGGTTGTGAAATTTCTTTTGTCACATTTTTGTAAAGTAAACTTGGACGTCCATGTAATTCTTTTGTCCATTTTTGTGTTCGGTGGTGGGAAGGAAAGAAGGAAGAAAGGGGTGTAGAGAGATAATAAGAAGGAATAAAAAAAATTTCTTAGAAATGATACAAATAAATAAAGGAGAATAGAAAGTACAATCCATCCTCCTTTTTTTATAAATTTTTATCTGCCCATAGACGTACCAAATAAAGGAACAAGTAGACTACTATAAAAAAATTAAATTAAATTTTATCCTAGATTATACAAATTTTAAATTACATGATATCCTTTATAAATTACTTAGTACAATATTATAAATATTATTATATATAATGGTAAAAATAATTAAAATTTTATATTAACGAACATGATAAATTATGAATTTATTTTCTTATTTTCTATCCAATTGAACAAAAAGTGTAAAATACACACAATCTTTTCCTTAAGGATATCTCATCCATCCATTTTTCTCTCTTTTCCTTCTATTTTTTTTCCTTTCCTACCAAACAGAGCATTAATCTTTCAAAAGGTTAAGAAAAGTGGATGACATTATATAAATTTGAAAGATATGAGGGATTAAAAAAAAAAATCAAGTTTCAATATTATTTTTTAAATATTTAAAAATGGAGGCTTTATTCACGTCCACTTTTCTCTAATTGCATTTCATTTACTTTTTTTCTTTTAAAAGAAATGAAAAGAAGTCATTGAATTCATTAATGCACAGTCCCTTAATTTAAAATATCAAAATTACAATTTACACCACTTTTACTTTTTTTAACCTTCTATACTATTTTTTCGTTTTTCCCAAGGTTCTATCAAAGAAAATAATTTATTCCATACTAATAATTTTATTTTTAGCAGTCAAAAGAGATAATTTATTTGATAGAGATTTTTTTGTACTGTAATGACCCTATCATTTTCCTTCCTTTCTTTTTTCTCAAATTTTACGGATAAATTTTTTCGGTTGAATTTTCTTTTCTGAGTTCGATTACTCATCACTTAATATCGTCTCGAGTGCTCGAAAATGATTTCCGAGACTCTTTCCTTTGTATTGACAACTTCCTTTAAGAATCGAGTCATTTCCACATTTTCATTTTTTTGGACACTATCACTTTTCGTCTTTTCCCCATTTGTCACTTTGTTGGCACAACCTCACTTTTCATGTTCGAAGTTGAGTTTTGACTTCACAAGTTTTTGTTTCAGTTGATTTCCTCGAAACGCGTAGCTTTACTTTTAGAGAAAAGCTCGCCGGTTGTTTCTTTCTCCCATAGAGGCGTGGATGAAAGGATTTTTCAGAAACATTGACGTTTCTTGAGGTGTTTTTCATATTAGGGGTTTTTAAGAAAATATCTTTTGGGAGATATTTTCATTCTGGGCAGTTTTGCAGTTATTCCTTTTTGTGGGGGCTATTGTGTAATTAACGAAAGTTATTGCAAAATGTCTCGTTTTGAGCCTGGATCCTCTTACGGGATTCATTTTCACTTTTCGTCGAGTCTTGTACTCTTATAATTTCCTCACGGTCGTTTTCCCAAGTTTTAGGGTTTGACCCCAGTTGTCGCCGAACTTGTTCGGGACATATCTTTCTGCACGGGATTCGATTTTCGACGCCGTTTCTTCTGTTATTCATTTTTTTTCATTTCGGTTCTTTTTCGTTCACGGTGTTTTACCGCTTGTGTAACACCCCACATTTTCCATGCATAAGTTGATCAGGCTTATACACGAAAAATGAGAGATATCAAAAACAATAGGTAATATACAAGCATGGAATATAAAATGATAATAATAGAAGAACTTAGACAGGAAAGGAAAACTAAATGATAAAACATCCATCCATCATTTATTAAATACAATACTCCTTTATACAACTTGAAAATCCTATGTCAAGGATCCTTAAATAAAACTTGAAAGTTCAACGTCGTAAGTAAATAAAACTGGAGTCAAAATAATACATAAAACTTCTACCCTAAACAAGACCGTAAAAGTAGATAAGTTCGAATGGTGGTCCCACACTACTAAGCCTCAACCTTGAAACCGGTACTAACAGGGTCCTGAAATACAACAATGGTGGGTCAAACCTACGAGCAAGTTCTCTTTACTATGACCCAAATCAGAGAATCAAATAAATTAATCATTATTATTCGGAAGTATACTATATCTGTATACACCCTAATGAAACTACACAATGTATAATAAGACCTCAACCAGAATAAACGGTGATCACTTACACTCACACGAGGTGGTTAAGTGTCTCATTTCCCTACCTGGGAAATCAGCTATTAACATATGGTACACGATACTGACAATACAGACTATAAGTCCTACATAGTGGTAACACATCTCAAGGTACTAATAAATATACTTAGCATATCACTTAGGCAACACATGCCAATAATATTAAACCACATACCCCGATAGTCACACATCTGTTTATGGCAACGAATGCATAAGGTATATATGAGTCTCAACTTATTAGTCAGCTCACATGGTTCTATATGGCAACACATCCATATAATATAAATGCGACATAACTTATTAAGTAGTCCATTTATTACCTGAAATGCACATAGCATAATAATCATGATTTATATATCATTAACAACATAAATAATCCCGTAATGTATAATGGACAATTTATATGAATGATATCATGTAATCATTTAATTTAACATTAATGATTAATACCATATAATAATAACACAATTAATATTTAAATATGTCATTAACTTACTTACATCCGTTTAATAGCGATCCGTACTGTAAACGATACAATTAATGTTTAGAAATATTAATCAGACCTAATAATAATTAACGGGTAATAAAAACAATAATTTAATGTTCCGTTAAACCCGTAAATACCAACCCTAGTCCTAAAAATGCAAGTTGAAGGTTCTGGGAATTACGAAACAGTCCATAGGGGTATTTTAGACTTTTCCAGCAGCTGTAGAGGTCCCACACGCGCCCTCACGCGCCTCCCAGAGCTTCCCCACTCGCGGCCTAAGTTTTCTCACACGCGCACGCGCTTATACGCGCCTTCACGCGCGCGCACGCGTTGCCATACGCGCTCCAATGATTCCTGCTGACGTGGCGTGATCTGATTGGTCTGTTGTAACAGACTTTTATGGACGCGCTACACTGGATCGATCTGATGATCACCCTTTAATCTAACGGCTCCTGATTTGCACGCACCATAATATTGTGTACTAAGCTACACCGAATAGATCTGATGATTAAATACCCATCTAACGGCTGTTGATGCACGCGCATAGTAACCCTTGTGGCCCGCATCACATGGGATCACTCCGGTCACCTTCTTCACTGCCGGTGGCCGGAAATCTCGCCGGAGTCTTGCCAGAATTTACAAAAAAATATCAGAAAATTCTAAAAAAATCCCTAAAGCCTTAAATAATTATTTTTAGCTATATTTTAATTACATAGGCTAATAAACAAATATCTACCACCCTAAATAATTAAAATTTCACTACTTTAATAAACTAAAAATTAATTTATTAAAATTCCTAGCATGGTTTCTAACCTCTAAATAGCTGAAATAAATTAAATGAATAATTTATGGATTCAAAGGGGAAAAGTAGAAAATAACTTACCTTAAGGATTTGAAACAAATCCGCCGGTTGCGCGTAGTCGGATTAAATTTTCCTTCACCTGTCCAAGGCTACCTCTCTCACTTTTCTTCTCTTTCTCTCTTCTAAAATAACCCTCTGCTATTTTACTTTTTCTAACTTACGTTCTCATCAACCAAAGCTAACTAATATTTATATAAACTAATATAATATAAATATTACAAATATCTAACTTATAATAAATACCAAAACATTCCTACCTAATTTAAGTTAAGGCAATGCAATCTAAGTCAAATAATTGACATAAAAATCTACCCTAGTAAATGAAATCCTATCCTAAAACCAATTTACATCATGACATTGTTTTATTATTATGATTATTATTATTACATAATAATACACTACATTACAAATGAACTACTTTAAGTAAGTAATATTAATTAATATAAAATATAACCAACAAAATATATAAACTAACATTATAATATATAGAGCATACAATTTATATTATATGTACAAATCATATTAATTTAATAATTTAGCATACACAATTAAAAATGTGAATAAATCTACACATTAAAAAGACACATTATAATACAGAATTAATTTAAATAAACTCTTTAAAAAATATGGAGTATGACAGTTTGAGTGCGTCTACGCAAATTCTACTTTTTCGGACCCGGCGGGTCATTTCGGGGCACTTTTAGAGTTTTTACTATAAATAAGGGATTATAAAATTAAAAATATTTTATCATCTTCTTCTCACACTGCTGCAGATCAGCCATGGCAGTCCAAGGGGGCTGCCACCCTTCTTCTCTCAAATTAACCTTTTTTCCTCTTTGTAAAATGTTATAGTACCTTAGTGTTTATCGTAGGCCTTGATGAGGTGCTCCTTTCCCCTTATTAGAAGCCGATTCCGTCCATTTTTGAGTTCAGATTTGTATTTTCATGGTACCTCAAGGGTTAAAGTTTCTTCCCTCGTAGTCCCCTACATAATCTAGAAGTATCGTCGGATTCGGAACGATTTCCTTTTGGTAGGGATTTGAGATTTCTTCTCAAAATAAGGTAGAGGATATCTTAGGTTTACATAATTATTGTATTGATTGTTATATAAGCTTATTCAATTTGTATGCATGTCTAGGTATTTTATTTAGAATTTAATTTTATTATTTTTTTTGTATAATATTTAATTATAATAGTTGTATATAGCTTGAAATTAAATTGTGGCATGCTATTAAATTAAGAG